CTCATACCCTACCCTCATGGGCTTAGTGCTTCTGTTACCCCTGTATTCAAAAAGGGCGACAAATCCTCCGCTAAAAATTATCGACCAATAAGTCTCGTTCCTATCGCCGCCAAAATAGCTGAAAGAATCATATTAGATAAGCTCCTGTCATTTGCTTTCGAAAATGACCTTATCCCTAAGAATCAGCATGGATTTCTCCCTGGTCGATCAATAATGACCAACCTTCTCCACTCTCTCAACGATTGGACTATAATCTACTTAGATTTTTCTAGGGCTTTCGATCGCGTACCACATAGAAGGCTTCTGTTTAAGTTGGAATGTATGGGAATAAGAGGCGAGTTGTTACTGTGGATTAAGGCTTTTCTCACCGGGAGGACTTTCTCTGTGCGCGTCAGTGATAGCCAGTCTCACCTTCATCATGTAGTAAGTGGAGTTCCTCAAGGCTCTGTCTTGGGGCCAGTGCTGTTCCTTCTGTATACAAGTGACCTGCCCGCATTGATTTCCTCCACATGTTCAACTTATGCCGACGACACCAAGATTTACAATACTGTCGTAAATTCTGCTATGCTTCAACGAGATCTTGATATTGTTTGTCAATGGTCAGTCAGTTGGCTTTTACCCTAACTAAGTGTTGTGTTCTTCACCTCGGGAAGACAAATCCGCGATTTACATACAAGATCTCTGACCACAACATCGAAGCAGTTTCCAGCCACACTGATCTGGGCGTTGTAGTCAACGATCATCTTTCCTGGTCAGAGCATATTCACCACGTTACATCAAAAGCCAAGAAACTTCTATACATGCTGGAGAGGTCTTTCAAAGGATCCGATGTCAACACTTGCGCCTACATTTACAAGGCATTCGTGAGGTCAATTCTTGAATTCGCTGGCCCGGTATGGGACACTGTGCTTCTGCGCGATAGAAATCTCCTCGAATCAGTACAGCGTCGGGCTACTCGTATCCCTTTTGGAGCACGAAGACCAAGCTATGAAGATCGCCTTGAATTATTCAACCTGACCTCATTCTCTGAGCGAAGACTTCGTGGCGATCTTATAGTTACGTTCAGGATACTTCATGGTTTGATGGGCACCAACCTCATGCATCTATACCGTCTGTCGCGCAGCAATCTACGCGAACACAGCTTCAAACTGCATAAGGAGCCATTTAAAACAGTCCGACAGTGGTTTCTTCCCAACCGCATATTCAACACCTGGAATAGTTTACCTGAAAGTGTGGTTGGTGCTACTTCAGTTAATAGCTTCAAAGAGCAGTATGATAGCTGGAGGAGTGTACAAACTTTATAACTATGAACTGTCTTTTTTTATTTTTTTCTATTTGATGTATTTGTGTTACGTGTCCGTACACTATATTTACTGCATGAGCTTATAGTACCGTGTACTCTGCTCATCTCAATTATCATAATAATAATAATAATAAACTTAAATAGAACTGATGACTGGGATCACGTTCGGGTAGTCCGGTCTTGATAAGTGTTCTGCCACGCTGCTGCATCCGACGGGTTGTGCAGTCAGGTATCGGGGAAAGGCGACGTTGCTAGATGATATGAAACGGAACGTCTATGGACTTATCGCGTGGACATGATTGACTAACCTGATCCATATAATTTTTCTGTTATATATGTTCCTAACAAACGTTTTTTCCCAGAAGGTCTAACTTGAGCTAAACATAATTATCTATGAACTGATGGCGTTGCGTGGTTGCAAAGTCAACCTACCCTTGCCATTGGAGTGAGTGGCGTGTGATTCATCACTTTGAAGCTTCTTATAAGGAACCTAGGACTTTTCTATATCGGCTTGCTTATAGCTCAATAGTCATATAAGAACTATGTTATGTTTAGTTCGGGAGGTATACTTATGTTTGATCAGACAAATTCTGAATCGTCTTTTTTTTTTTGACGAATCTGCATGTTGTCAGTCCCAAAATTTTCTGAAAAACTAAAACTAAATCAACATACCGAGAATTTGTATTTAGGATATCATATTAAAGGTATTGCAAAAAAATAAATGAAAAGAATGACAATTGTTTGCATTATGCTACATGCCTTTTCGAAAAATCGCGAATGGAAACAATGCCGCCATTCTTGAATACTGTTCCTTGATCATTTTATTTCTTGTTACTTAGATATATGCTCAATAACAACCTCCAATAATATTATCTGATTTCCATTTCATACACCATTAAAAAATTAGATAAAAAATCATTTTTAACACGCTTATTTAAACAGTTACAGTGGTACCCCTCAACGTTTTCAACTGTCACTTTAAATACAAAAGTATCTATGCATCAATTCTATCATTCTGAATCTCATTTTGTTAATTTGTCTTGCACTATATACATACGTACAATATCGTCGTGCAGCACGATTAGAAGATTGCAGGTTTCTCCGCAACCAGATAGATTCTAAATGGACTCAGTAGTAGAAAAATGTAATTTTTTATATGACTCCTATATCATATCCATGTCCTTTGCATTTTGTAATCCTTTCCCGAGACGTTTGGCCCAAATTAATTATCACTGATAAAAGTCCATGCCTTTTAGATAGCTCCAATTTTCACCAGCAGGTGAATTCGAATTTTTAATCTACAAATATGTCATATATATGCTTATGGTAATATATTCGAAGGATGAAACTTGTATCAGCTAATTATACAGTTTTATACATAAGGCATAATTATTTGCGATTAAAAGCTCATGCCTGCCATATGTGAAAAAAAACATTTATACGAGGTATTTCTTTCAACTAGTTGGATCGAAATATCATGACTTTATCTATATTTTACAGAAAACTTGTACCACGGTTATAGTTGATCTAATAACGACTGAAGAAGAGCAACATCCTGGAGTCGCAAGAAAGGTGTAAAATTCTATACACACTGATCCAAAAACTCCAGACCGGTAAGATGTTTGAAAATATGCAAGGTATATGGTATCTCCCACCGGAAAAACAGAGTGAAAAAATTTAATCTTAAATATGAACTTGAATGAACATTGTTTTGACCTCGAACATCCTATCCAAGGTCATCGTAAAAAATCTAGAATATTGAAGAGACTAAATACAAAGCAATAAAAACGCTAAAGGTTCTTTAAGTTTTCTCTGGCTATTCGGCCTCCTGCTGCCTTGGGTCCTTCTATCTTCAGATAGAGCCCGGACATCTTTTAGAACCAGGATTTATCACGATGGTCTTAACTAGAAAACGTCAAAATAACTTTCACCCAAGGCCACATCTGGACGTAAATTTTTTTTTTGTATCCGAGGTTACAAGTAAATCCTCTTCAAATCGGATCAATTTCAAGGTCATCACAGTGTAATTCGGGGAAAATTCTGCACTATTATTTTACTTTTACCATATTCCGAAATATCTTGTCAGTCCGTTACGTCCAACTTGGCATGAGTGAGTCAATGACTGACAAGCTGCTAGAAAATATAAACTATTCACGCTATTGAAATAAGACGGCGTGTATCGCCATCTTCCACTAGAATTGATCACCTGCGAACAGCGAATACCAGCTATAGGTTCAAACTAGATAGATAGATCTTAGTCCGCTAAAGCAAGGCCCAGTCACCACGTGTTCGCTAGATGGCGTCGATTTTGTGTAGTAGATGTGGTCGTCTACTTACCATTGAATAAAATGAACACGATCTGCCTTTATCCGTCTGACTAAGGACAGCCAATTATGATCTGCTGTTTCGTGCTTTTCGCCCATTCGTCAGTTTGGTCTAGGCATTGGACCTCCTGGCTTATATGCAGTAAAAACCGGTAGCTGCTTTTCATTGTTCGCAGTGGTCGATAGTACAAAGTTATCCGGGAGACCCTAGCCCTAGACCATGCTGCCGAGTAGCCAAAAATTACGAAGCAGCTGTCTATGGTTGGCTGTCTTTAGTCGGACGGACAAAAGCAAATCATGTTTGGTTTATTAACGCTATAACAAGAAAGCTACGCTTCTGCGTTGTAGTGCAACTAAGAAATACCTACAGGGCTACGGGTACTTAGTACCACTCTGTAACAATTTCGGAGTACTTGTGTAATGCGTTCGGAAATAGAACGATATAGTCCCTATGGAACGTCAAAAGAGCACTTTTCTTCCGGTGTTCAACACTTGGGAATGAGAGTGTCGTTACTTGTCATTGTCATGGTTCATTGCATGTTTAGTTTTTTAGTTATCAAAAAGTGCTCAGAATTCGCAGAATACATGGCTCCACGATAAATGGGCTGCATACTATCTACAGCGTCTGTCATAATAGAAGCAATAGTCGCAAAAAAGTGGTTAGAAATTAGTCAGCATTACATGGCTCTGTAATGACTTAGGCGTGCTTAAAATAATGTTACATAGTTTTACAGTGTAAAACTCCTTCTGTCAATCTACATTGCATTACCGTGTACAGTATCACATGAAGTGATTTACAGATGCACCCCAGCTCTGCCTTTCACGGTATTATTTGACAACAGAACAGAAGTGAGTCTGTGGCCTACCGGACTATGGAGGACATTGTAATATGTATTTTGGACTCTATTTGGACAACATAACTATAAAAAATGCCTCCTCCTACAGATTACCCATTTAGACTATTCTAAAAACTGTTATCGACAGATCCGCATGTGATAGGATAATAAATATTAACGACATTTAGATTACAGCGAAAAATGCATCTGCCTTGTTTAGAATAAGTCAAGTTGTTTGAATTATTCTATAACATAGCAAATGAGCGGTCGAATCGGTCAATTACTTTTATGGGTTAGAATGAAGGGCCTGGTGAGTGGTTTAGCCCACAAGTTAAATTGACGTTTCTCGATTACATTTCAAGGCACACTGTATCACAGGATATAGACGTCTGGAAAACTGGATATCTAAATGGTTTCTTTTCGAGGAGTACGGCGAACTAATGAATATTACTTGCATTAATTTGTGCTTGCGTATCTGTATCTACTGGCATATAAATATAAACCACGAACACGTTAATATCTGTATACGATTTCTTCCACCAAACTGACGTGTTACAAGTATGAAGTGTTTAATTATCACACTCTTCGCGTTTATTTTTGCATTTTCCAATGGAGCAGCGTCTGATGGCAGTAAGTTGTTTGATGAACTTCAAAATGAAAATTTATTTGTACTACCTGAGCAAACTTGTTGGCAATAATCTTGCGTTCCCTTCAAGTAAGATAACTCCTGTAAAACCATCTCAGTCTCGAATTTGCAGCTGCTCCAACATTCTGTAGACTTTATTACAACCGCAATTTGTTTTAGTAAGTCATACAGGGTGTTCCACATTTCTGATAATTTTGAAACATACTAGATATAAAAGAAATGATAAAATGTCTCATAGGCTTGTGGATTGACTTCTGAGGTCCTTGTTGCTAAAATGTTTTCCAAAATATTGTTTGTGGATCAAACTCGAGTCAGCTGTTACAGGGCCAACGTTATCAAAAATCGACTGCCTAGATTTTACATCCACCACTCACTTGTGACCCTGAAATTGAGGCTAAACAGGTATTTCAATTGTTGAAACGTTTTCGTCTGGTGTTTGTCCTGGCTGCTATTTTACAGACTCTAAGTAATATTTCTTTCTTAATCATATAGCTATAATACAGGCTGTCCGAAAGATCGCAATAAAATCTCTAAGGGCTGATAGTAAACATCTTGTTTGGAACATAGGACACACATACCTTAGTACAAATTATTGAAAGAAAAAACGTGCAATTTAATACACCCAATAAAAAAATTACCATTTTCAAGAATTTTGAGCCAAGTCACACATCTCAAAACAAAACCGTATGTATTTTGATGTTGTCTAACATATTTTTGTGACCTGTGTACTGGATCTTCATGTGTGAACCTAAATAAATGAACTGGTATATAGGAGGAATCAACTTCCAATGAGCATTCGATTCGAAAAATATGTGAATGTGGAAATGTGAGATGGTCATGTACCGCTCTTACTAGAGTATCAGCGAGGCCAGGGAAATGCATCAGAAATACTGATACGTTTCTGTGTTGTCACTTGACTGTCACTAGTGTTTTATCTTCTACAATTTGAAAATACATAGCATATCATAGTTTTTTACTACTAGGGTGTGTGGCTTACTCTGAAATTTTATAATGTTCTTGAAAATGTTAATATATTTTGTATAAAATTGCAGGTTTTTTTAATCTGCGCAATTTCGTATCTTCCACATAATTTCAAGATAAGTTGCGAGGTATGTATCATGGAATCGAATCGCTTACAGAGAACTGAGTACAAAAGCCGGGATATGAAATAAGGGCGAGAAAGTTGAGTGCTTTATCACGCCCTTTATCGCAAACTTTCAAACAATTTGTATAGTGACAAAAATGACAGAACTAAGAGGTTGCTCATCATTGAACCAATAGTTTATCAAATGACTTTGGTTTTTTTCTAGGACTTCACATAATTGGGCAAAGCTGAAAATTCGTTTGACTTTGTACGGCTACTGTAGAACTATGTCCCTTTTTGCCTCCTTGGAGCAGTATTCTACATTTATACTTTTCAACTGATGATTTCATGGTATGTATAGTGAAATAGTACAACTCTCAAGTAGTGTGTGAGTATTCCACTTCTATAAAACAATGAAGCGGGTGATTAATTTTATTCTTAACGCTTTTCCTCTTCAAAAGACCTTTGATTTTCTTGTAACCTCATTTTGCAGCAAATTTAGTTATAAAAAAAGCAAGAGAGAGAAGATAGAAAGTGATAAAAGAATATGTAATCTTTCAATCCATAAAAGTGGAGTACGATTGAAGAAAAAATACACAACAAAATGCACAAAAATTATAGATTTTTTGACAAAAAATAAACTGATAACATTGTTCAGTTCTCTCTAAACACACCATGCAACAACAATCAGACAAATAGTATTAAGGATACTTCTCCAGACAGGCTGTTGGAAAGAAGGAAGATGTAGCGTTAATCTGTTCGATTTCCCCTTGAAATGTTCGTATATCGACCTCCAGAACAACCAGTATATTTTCCTGTTATTATATTTCAGATCAGCCCAACCAATGTCCTCCCAACGAGCACGTAGCTTCATGTATTCCATGTACCGTGAGCTGTTACGAACCACAGGATAAACCTTGTTCTAAAGTATGTAGAATTAATATTGACAAATGTTATTGTAGACCGGGTTACCTCCGAAATCGTGTCGGTGTATGCGTCCCCAAGGATGAATGCTGGTATTAAAAAGATGACAGAAAATAAATTTCTATTTAGAATTGGAGTATCATTTTGTTCTGTTGAGTTATTAGAGTTTTTTCGAGCATCTGCAGAAACCTTATTGGGCTACGATGGTAAAAGTAAAATTATGTTTTCTAAACTGCTGATAATAATCATTATCAGTATTCGACAACATTTTTTCGCATCTCGATATGTCACAATTTACTTTATAGATTGAGGTAGCTTGTTTGTTGCTCATCACCTAACTAGAGTAGAAACCTAGTTGTTCAGTTTTGCTTTATGCGCCAACTACAGTTGTAAGCACATTCACCATTTTATTGAGTTGTTTTAAAACCGAATAATCATTAAAACAAAAAACGTAAACGTTGGAACATTAACAATGGATAGATGTTGTATGAAGGAAACTGTAAGCACTTCATACAGCCTACTTTGAGAGCAGCTGGGAAATCTCTAAAATTAATCCTGAACAACCAAGACGTATTTGATAATTTGGTCGTTCTACTAAATATGGCGAAAGCACTAAGCATATCCGAACACACCGACAAAAATATTCTATCAAAAGCTGCAGGGTATCGAAAAAGCAAGTTGCCGATGTTCTCAAATATGACTGAGATAATGATAAAGTTAAGTTTGACACTAGATTCTCTGGAGCTTGAGATTCTACATTAGAGTAGATTACCATACACGTATTCACGTGGTGGTAGGTAGTTGTAAGTGGGCTAATTAGTATAACCTTCCCTAACGTTTGGTAAAGGTTTCAGTATGTCAGAAAAGCAAGTTACCTTCAACCTCAAATATGATCTATTCATGAAGAGCTCGATATTTTGCATCGTAGCACATTTCCACACGAGATCAAGCGGTCACAAGTGGTATGACCTACTGCAACCGTTGAGAAGTACACGAACAAGAGGAAAACTTGCAAAAAAAAGTTTTAACAAGGGTTTCATGATATCAAAATACTTCCTGCTTGACTCTGGCCTGTGTGCCTCTATTTATCTTCGACTCGACAATCCCAAAAGCATACCGGCGCCTTCCAGAATAAACTCGAGTCTTCATCGAAGCCTGGTAGATGGCGGTCGATGTTTCTCGATGAGTGCCGAACGTTCGCGACGTGCGTAATTCTGGTTGTCTAATCTGACGTACAAGGATGTCTCACTGGTGCACAAAGTTTTAGTTACGAGGGCATTATTATCTGATATCAAAATGATTGCTTTTATGATATTCTTAAACTTTTTTTATACTCATTTTTCAAAATTTGTAATTATTATTATTATTAATGGAGCTTTCTGTTATGACAGCGCCCTCTCGAAATTCAATTATTTGGACTAACTCGGGATAAACATTTCACAACAGGTTCAGAATGAATTTTAAATCACCCCCTCTTAATTACGAGGGTAGCGATGATATGTAATGGACCATTTACCTGCACGAGGCAAAATGTCAGGAACATGCCTACAGCCAGTTTTTACAAACTCTGACATTATAACTGGTTTTGTAAAGGACAACGGGCTTTTTGCTAGCAAGGCCAAAAGTCAGAAAGACCCCCTAAAGCGCTGCCATTCACATCAAGTGGACGGCGGATCAAAAAATGGATGGGTAAACAAGGAATGTTTAATGAAACAAGGAAAAGTGCCATTTCTGTTCTACCAAGTGGGTCAGTCGCTCTGCGACAACTGAATATTTTGTTATGGTTGAACTTATAACTGACCAATAAACCAATAATGCTTGTTCTCCATTCTGCATTTCAAAAATAGTACCATTCAGGATCTTCCAAAATATGTGTTACTTTTTTACTAACGAGAACGAGAGAGAAAGGAGGAGTGTAATTTATCAGAGACACAACGACAGAATAAGTCTCACACATTATCAGGTAACCAAATAAGTTCGTGCGGTTGCTGTACATCGCACATTGCCATGGATGTTCTTGATCGATAGCGATTGTTTTTCTACCTGTTGTCACTTTAGTATGAATCCTTATTTTCTCACATACATAAAAAGTTGCTGAAAATTGTTACATACCTAGTTTTGATAATTGAAAATGGCGACGAGTAAAACAGTAATTCGAAGTTGTTTACTGTATGAATACAAACTTGGTACAAAAGCTGCAGCGGCGGCGCGAAAAATATGTACCGCATTCGGAGATGATGCCGTTAGTGATCGAACAGCACAGACATGGTTAAAAAATATGTCTTCCCGAGATCTCAGTTTGAGCGATGAACCGCGTTCAGGGAGACCAAAAATGATGAACAACGAGGATCTTCGACAGGTTGTGGACGCAAATTCCAGGACAACGTGCCAAGAACTTGCAGAAATGTTCAAAGTGAGTCCTGAAACTATTCGTTTGCATCTTCATCAGCTAGGGAAGATGTGGAAGTTAAGCAAAGGGGTCCCACATGAACTGACAAGTGATAACAAGTTAAGTAATCTTACCATTTATTCAGCAAACATTTCACGCAACGCTAATGAACCATTTCTTAATCGGCTATTAGCCTGCGACAAAAAATGGATCTTGTATTCGAATTCTAAGCGTTTGTGTCATTGGTTGTCGCCTACTGATTAGGTACCACACACGCCCAAGGCTTCCTTGCACCCAAACAAGCTTTTGTTGTGTGTGTGGTGGACAGCAACTGGAATTGTCCATTATGAGTTTTTGGAAAGGGGTGAAACCACCACTGCTAACTTGTATTGTGAGCAGCTACAACGAGTAAAACAGCACTCATCCAGAAACAGCATTCCTTGATCAATCGGAAGAAGGTGATATTCTTGCATAATAACGTCAAGCTTCATACCGCAAAAGTTACCCGAGAAAAACTTTCTGACCTCGGCTGGGAAACGTTACCTCGCCCGCCATATTCTCCCGACATTTCGCCCAGTGATCATCACCTTTTTTTGTCTCTTGACAACTGTATGAGGCACCAACAATTCACAACTTGAGATGGTGTGATAAATGCAGTCTGCCAATTTTTTTACACCAAATCCAGGGAGTTCTACAATACCGGCATACAAAAATTGGTTCCACGTTGGCAAAAGGTCATTGAATGTGATGGTAATTACTTCGACGATTGTCTTATTGTTTCACAATAAAAATTAATATTTTTCTACTAAAATCTGCACGAACTTATTTGGTTACCTGATACATGGAAAGAAGGATTTTGACAGTTGATTTTCTTAGAACAGTAGTTTTATAAAATATAGCCAATATGTTCCCATAAAAGGATATGTAATGCAGTTCATATTTTTGGAATATTACTTTGTCCACATTTTTGTGGTGTCTTATAGCAAGAGTGATGCGCATAAAGCAAATAGGAAAATATAGAAACCTAAAAAATCAGACAAAACCATTTGAAAAGGTGTATTAAACATTAAACAACAATCAGCTGGTCCAAAATAGCTTTCCGGTGTCGAAAAGTGTACTAAATTTTATATCGTTTTCGTCAAGGAAAAATGAAAGTAATTGAAGTCCGAATATACTATAAACATTATAGTATCCCATTTCAATTGAATATATGGTCTTTGGCTTTATCAATTAAGTTAGTAACCGACGAATAAGGACTATTTTTTATCAGTCTTTGATGCGAATATGGTCTCCGTTCATTTCATTATACGAGCATTACATGAGACATTCCGAAGATTTCATATCAAGAGAGAAGCGACGCATTTTTTAATAAATTTCTCGTTAGCTTTGGGACAGGAATTGGTTTATTATTTTTTAACTACACATGTACTTTTAAACTGGGGTGTATTTAATATACTCCAATAAGAAATTCTTATCATTATGAAAAATTTTAAAATTTTTTCTTATGAACTTTATAATGTACAATTCATTATATTTATTGAGCTGCTGTATAAATATCATCTCTTTTCAATAGTGCTTAGGTACGGATGCGTAACCTGATATAACAATAGTCACCGTTACAGTCGTACGGCTTGTGTAATAACAAACTGCCATTCGCTGACAAGAATTAACTGAAAGAGAAATATTATTAAGGACAGGTCTTCTGCAGCATTTAACAAGAACTTAAATGGTGACCTTAAGTTCAACTTAAACCTTAGCTTTAAAGTTATGTTTAGATCATTTTTTTAACTTGAAACTCACTCCTTGATACCAGAAATGTAAAATTGAAGATTTGACAATGTCATGTACTGTTATGATCTTGAAGTAGATACTGAAATTCACAGTTGAATGTTTCTAAATGTCTTACATCGCTCATTTATCAATAATCCTGCTAAATTCCTGAGAGTTCTCCCTTGCCTCGCATATGTTATCTTCAATTTACCTTTAGAGGTGACCTTGATCTTTGATTTTAGTACATAGGGGCCGTTCAAGTATTACGTAAGCAAACTTATTACAATTATTTACCCCCCTCCCATCCTCCATGTCAGCAAAAGTAAGCAAAGCTCTTACTCCCTCCCCCCATGCTTACGTAAACATTTGTCAATGAATGTATTGTTTTTTTTAATATTATAATTATAAAGTTATAATTATAATTTGAAAAATAAGAAAATAGATTTAGGATAGAGATTATCTTTTACTGATTCGGTATTCAACATAGAGTAAAGGACAAAAATATTATATCTTAATAACATAACAAACTTATTTTAAATTTTTGGTACATATATTAAATTCAAATTAAGAGTCTTCAGTCCATGAAACCCGAATCCATGATTCTAAGTTTTCGATGACATCGGATTGCTTCGATTGCTGCTCAGGGTGGTGAGTTTGCTCGCTTTCATCGGATTTTGGAATGTCTACGTCGTTCTCATCGAACCATTCAACATCATGGTGCTCTAAACCTTGAATAATGCACATCAGTTCATTAGCACGACGAGCAGCGGCTCTTACAGCTCTAACTTTCCTATCAGTGTGCGTGTGCGTGATTTAGTGAATTGACGGAAGCATGATAAAGACCACACGTTTTGCATGTTCGACTTGATAGTCTCAATTATACCGTCGGACAAAAATAATGGTAGGACATTTGCAGGAAATCTTTGAGTGAAGCACTTAAGCGTAGA